CGATCCGATCCGGTTTTAAAAACCTTGGTTGGTATACATATACGTATGGTGTTGGAAAGCTACTGATCATGAAAATTTTGATATCCATGGTATATATATTCTTACCAAGTTGCATCCATGATCTTAATAGTCATATGGAATAAATTTGGCTTTTCAGTGCGCTATCTCTTCCTGTTCTCCCATCACTCTTTCTTGTATTTTCGTATTTTGGGGGATTTTTTTTTGAGAATTTAACGTTTGAATATTGAAAGGGTAAAAGAAACAAAGACCACGACCCCTTACTTATGTATACATAAAGACAATGCTATAAGAACAATAATTTTTTTTTATTTGTTACACAACGGTAGATAACTTTTTTTTGTTCCTTATTTAATTTTACCGTATATCATGAGAGTCAAATTCATATTTTCTTACTTTTAACAAAAAAAAAACTATCACTAAATTATTTAGACGGTTAGCATAGGGATAATATTTTTATATCATCATTTGATATAATTTTCACATGTAATTAAATAAATAGATATATTTAATATTATTAATTTTACATAAATAAAAAAAATCAATCATTTAAATAACAGTCAAGCTGTACTAAAAGGTAGTAAAAAAAATTATTTCAAAATAATTTTATTATATATAATATTTTAGTTCCGTAATCCTAGTTATAAGGAATATCGGCCAAAAAAAAGAAAAAAAAAAGGGAAAACAATCTACATAAAAGTAGTTCAAGTATTGAGCTTTGCATTTCAACGCTAAAGTTTCTAGCCTACATATTGTTTTATTTTTGGAAGTGCCCACTGAAGCAACTCCGTGGCCTCTCAACTCGATGCCTAGATTTCAGTTATTGACTTCCAGGTAATTTTTGAGTTTTCCTCTTGACTAAATCACTTAAAAGAAAAATCCCTAGTAGTTATCATTGACCATTATTAATGTGACATTGTTTTCCCATATAAAAAACAAAAGAAAAACTATAACACCAGCAAAATTCTTCAAATCATAATCATTCTCAGTCCATTAGTCATGTGAGTTGATATTGAGCTTCGTTTCACCATGCTTTGTACAAATTTTTTTAACAATAGTTTATTTTAAAATATAAATTTATTATTTTTAATTAATAATTTATATTTTTAAAAAATAATTAAAAAAACAAGAAAAGAGCAAAAACTGTAGTTATAGACTTACAATACAGTACAATAATGACAAATAAAGCTTAACATTACATGTACCTTTAACTAAATGTTTAGAGTTGAATTTTTAGTATTTACATGCCTAAAAGCATAACCATTCTAGCATAAAAATTAATTTATGTGTTAAATAAGAAACTTAACTAATTAATTTTAAAATTTGTTTTACTCATCAAAAGACTAGTGAAACCGGTCCGTTTGACCAATGATCCAACATAAATCTCATGAGTTGCAAAATTAGACAAATTATAGGTTAATTTCAGAGTACTAGGTTGTAATTGTAGTTATTGATTTTTTAATTTTTTAATATATTAAAAATATATAAAATATATTTAATAATTATGTTAATTAATATTTTATATATTTTTAAAATAATAAAATATCAAAAAATTAAAAATTAAAATATCAAAAAAGTTGTCAGACAAAATATGAGTAAGAACGAGCCATGAGTTAGGTAAGCCCCGACCTCGGCTTTTGTGGATGAGTTGTGGGCATTTTGGCGGGTTGGGGACAAACCTCAACCTTTATAAAAAGACTGGGGATCAAAACGATAATTTTGTTTAACATCTCGGGTCCAATTAAAGGCCTCCTCTTCTTGGGCCACTTTTTTTGACTATAAAAAACCTCTTTGAAGGAAAAGTATACCGACATGTCAGAATCCAACCTACCGATTTGTATATTTTATTCTTTGCTTAATGCATCTCTGCTTGGGAAACAGCCAAGAAACAAGTAGGCAACAACTTCGTTGATTCTTGTGTAAATGCTATTTTTACTTTATAAATTTTTAATCTGTGATATTTTTAGTTTTTAATTAATTTTTTTATATATTTTTATCTTTAAATTATAAAAATATATTTTTATAGTTATTTTATTAACTAATTTGTTAAATTTATTTATATATTTTTAGTTTCTAAATTTATATGTTTAAAAATAAAAATATACATATATTATAATTTTAAAGATTAAAAATACATATTATAAATTGAAAAATTAAAAAATACAACGTGAGACAAATTTAACGAATTAATAAATGAAATAATTAAAAAAGATGCATATTAATTTTAATTTTTAAAATAAATTAAAATTAAAAATTTAAATTATGTTATTTTATTTAATTAAAATTTAATTTAAATATTAATATTTAATAATATAAATGTTTAAATATTAAATTGAGATTTTTTGTTTCAAATATAAGTTAAAACTTCAATAATTTTGGAACCTAAATTGATACTTATTAATCTTTAAAAAAAATACATTTTTAATAATTTATGGATAACAAAATATAAAAAATAATTTATAGACTAAAAATATTTAAAATAAAAAATTTAAAAACTAAAAATAAAATTTGACCTTTATTCTTCGTCGATTTAGGTCAAAATCAAAAGAATGACCGAAAATCCTGAAGTCTTCCTACAATTTTGATTCTTCATTCATTCCACATTACTCTATCCAGGCTTCCATAGGGAGGAGAGAAATTGCAAAGCAGCCATGGAAAGTCCATTAACGAGCTCATCATATGAAACAACACCAGATGGAAAACATGCTTCTCAATCCCAGCCTGCCAGCCTTCAACAAACCCCCTCTTCCTCTCATGGAGAAACAAAGCTTAGGACCAAAAGAAGCAGTCTAGCATTCCGGATTCGCGACCATGGTAAATCCCTCTTCTCAATTCAATCCTGTAAATAAAAATTTTGTTGGTGGGTATTATTAACATGCAAATTATGTGAGGAATTGCAGTGAAAATGGGGCCAAAGTGGTCAGAGACGGTAAAGGGAAAGCTGAGGTTGGGGGCAAGAATAATCCAACAAGGGGGGAGGGAGAACATTTTCAAACAGATTTTTGGTGTGGAAGAAGGAGAGCAGCTGCTCAAGGCTTCACAGTGCTACCTCTCCACAACTTCTGGCCCTATTGCAGGACTTCTCTTTGTTTCTACCCAAAAGGTTGCCTTCTGCAGTGAAAGATCAATCTCTTTCCCTTCCCCTACCGGAGAAGTAATCAAAACCCCTTATAAGGTAAGGATCAAAGCAAACCGATCATGTTGTGATTAGTTATAGATATGGATTCATATTTTACAAGTTAGACTAACATTAACTCAAATTAATAACTTTATAGGTTGGATTGTAGTTTTTAATGTGTAGTTCCATATGTAAAATATTTTTTCATATAAATAATTTAAAACATTTTCATTTTATAATTTAAATTGTATTAAATTTCAAAAACAAAAATATTATGGAATCCGGAGAAAACTCCTAATATTAAAAGCTCTTATTTTTATATTACAATACAGCTATCAAGGATGAATATCTGATTGATGGTATTGTGCAGGTTTTGATACCAATAAAGAAGATCAAAAGAGCCAACCAAAGTGAGAACGTGGACAATCCAGCACAAAAGTATATAGAAATAGTGACGGTTGATGATTGTGATTTTTGGTTTATGGGGTTTTTGAGATATGAGAAAGCCCTCTGTAATCTTCATAAAGCCCTTTCTTTAGCCAGCTAAATAGAATGCAATTATGCATTCAGGTTGTGTATTTTTATTAGTAATACAAAGTAGGTGTTTATGTTTGCAATTTGGTTGTATGGCAGCAATACTCATTGGGGAAAATCCACAAACACCAAACAGACCTTCAAGTCCTGAAAATGGAAAATCACTCAGAGCCAGTCTCCTGATTCCTCCATCAAAAAAATAAAAATAAAAAATCTCCTAATTCATTGTGGAATTCAAATTTCATCAGTAATCTAATTGGAAAAGAGAAAATCCTAATTCATTTGGAATTTTATTGGAATTCTGATTTCATCAGTACTCTAAATGGGAAAGAGAAAATCCTAATACATTTTGGAATCCTAATTCCATTCGTAATTTAATGGGAAAGAAATACTGTATATAAAGATAGAGTCCAGTTAATGGATTCAATCTCGTAGGCGCCTCAGAAGAAAAATTTTCTACATCCTTCCAATATTTTTTAATTCTTCTTTTGTTTTGTTAAAAAGTGGTACGTCTTTTCCATCTTATCTTCTATGTCAATATGATGCCATATATTTTGCTACAATTCTGTCTATCTTTGATTAATTCTTGAGGCTTCTTGAAGTAGTCTGCAGACATGGAAGTCGCCATGAAAAAACTAGCTAATTATGTGAGGAATCAAAACAACTGTTCAGAAGAAGGAGCATCATTAACTTTTTGCGTGGGAGATGATGCAATATTCTTTAAAAAGAACAATGGATTCCATGATCGCTTAAAAAATCAAGATGTTTGTTCCAATGCCAATGTTCGTTCAAGGTTGTAAGTGGTTCTCCACAACTATGTCACATGCGTGGTTCTCCACAGTTGCACTAAGAAATCTGCTGTCACAAGCGACTACTTCCTTGGCCATGGCCAAGGAATTAGTTGTTTGTGATAGCAGATTTCTTAATGAAGGCTCAATCAGAGGTCTAGCTGTATTCTTTAAACCATCCACGCATCTGATATGGTGAGAACACCACTTAACCTTGTAGGAACATTGGCATAGGAATGAAAATCTTGATTTTTCAAAGTTGCGATAGAATCCGTTTGTTCTTTGTAGGGAATATTGCATCATCTCCACACAGAAATTTAATGCTGCTGCTTGTTTTGCAAAGTTGGTTTGATTCCTCATATATTAAATTAGTTTTATGACGTTTTCTATGTCTATGGCCACTACCTTAAGAAGTGCTTAGGATCATAATCATATGTTGATGAAGTTGATAACAAGGAATGGAAAAAGCAACTTCTTAACAAAGCAAAAGTAGTAAGAAGTATTGGAAGGATGTAGAAAAACTTGTAGGAAGCTTTTCTTTTTGAAAGCAAGGAAGAGAAGCTGATCCACTGCATCGCGGGGTTTGATGGTCACTGGTGCCGCGCCTTAAGATCCAGTGGAATCCGTTTCGTTTGCTGTTGCTCTTGCAACACTGCCATGGCATGTGCTTCCATACTCATTCTGTCCAGTCCAAGCCCTATCCAGTTTGGTAATGTTCTGATGGCCTTGGTAGAATTCTTGCAATGACCCTTCACAAAGCTTGCTGCTGGTATGCCAGAGGCTTAACTGCTTTCCTTTTCGTAGGAAATTTTGATCAGCTTATTGGGTTTGTTTGCTATGTTCTTTACATCGAACTTGGCGTAGAGGCTTGGGTCGTAGTTGAGCCTTTAGTCACTTATGACTGTCAATAGAGTATTTTGGAAGCTCAGGTTTGAAGACCAGGTAGAGAATGCCAGCAGTGGCGGCAATGAGGATGATAAGGAGGAGGAGAAGGCTGGCTTATTGTCTAGCAAAGGAACTTGCAACAATAGCTTCACTGCCATGGACTGGAAGGGTATGGTGCAGAATAGGAATACCCTTCTCAGATGTTGCAGAGCTCTGAGCCACAAGAGGTGCTGTTATCAGTGATGGTGGCGGTGGCAAGCCTGATGGCAGAATATTTAGCATACGTTTGTCTGATGTTGTGGAGGCCAAAAGGTAGAGGCACCATATATGCTGTTGCTGGTGACAGCAGCAATGTCTTCTTCTGCTGGTCTGTCTTTGTTGATTTGCTTCAAATGAATTTCATGCTGCATGGTTATGTATGGTTGGTGATATATATATATATAAGGAGTTTGAATTTGGTTTCTTTAGTTGTCCTTTTGTTTGAACATAAATGGGTGCAGCTCTGAATCCTAACCTTCCTCTCCTAATAACAGCATATACAAACACAAGTTATGTGGGGATAATATAGCCAAGCATGAACCTGAACCTGTTTGTTCCCAAGGAAAATTGCATGCCCTTTTGGTTGGGATTGGACAAAATGATTTTCAATGAAATCTGGACAAGAAAGGTGCAACACATGTTCCAGAAAAATGGGTTAACTGCTTTTATTATTTTGAATCCCAGAAATCTTCACTTTCAAAAACAAGTTTTGTCAATCCACTAAAAACACATGGCATATACAAGAATAATAAAAATAACAGAGCAACATGCTTCAGATTACGCAATGCATGCTATTTTCATTTTTCATCCTCTTGACAATGGACAACGAATTACCTTGGCATGTAGACAACACATTGCAAGCACCACCCTTCTCTCATGAGACTGAAAGCTTTGTTGATATCCTCAAATGGACGATTGTGTGTGATGAAATCATCTATCTGGGTTTCCTGTGGAAAAAAGTTCGGATTATCAACAATGTTTTTGCCAATAAAACATTATTAGACATGGTTAGGCAATAATAAAGCTTTGCTGACTTGACTCAATGCTGCACACAGATGGCATAAAGCAAAAAGGATAAAAAAAAGAAGAAGAAGTGATGCACACATAACAGCAAAAAAAAACTATACCAGAACAAGAATCCCAAGTAGTCAGTTTTCATCTCAAGACTCCTATTCCTTTCTTTCCTTAATTCCACTAATTTGCAATTCAAGCACTACAAATATGTTATAAACGAGCTGCTGGTAATTTTTCCTTTAATTTTATACCTTGTTTGGTGCAACTGATTAATAAAAAAAATGGATTTAGACTTTAAACTGAATCTTCCTATGCTTTCTCTCATCCTATTCTTTGTCTTCTCTCATCTTATGATTCATACCATATCCTTTTCTTCTCTCTCCATACTTCCCAGCACGAAGCCAGAGCCCTTTTGGTTGATCTGCTGAAGATCCCATTAATTAGCGAGCCATTTATGACTCCTCTGCCTAATCAATTGTTACTGTCCGATAAGCTTTCAATTTATAATTTTTGACACACAGAGTTTCAACTAACATTTCCCTGATCCAGCTCCTTCCACTTTTCCTAATTGACCAGTTTATTACTTTAATCTGGTCTAGCATCATTTTGCCTATTTCTTTGGCTGATGTCATGAGTTAAGGAATGGAGACCAAGATTAGGATGCCTATATCTTTTTTAACAGAATCTGATTTGAGGATGCCTTTTGAAAGGATTATCTTCCCTATGTTTAACAGAATCTGATTTTTCAAAGTTGTGATAGAATCCATTGTTCTTGTTAGGGAATATTGCATCATCTCCACACAGAAAGTTAATGCTGCTGCTTCTTTTGCATTGTTGGTTTGATTCCTCACATATTCAACTAGTTTTATGATGTTTTCTTCGTCTACAATGACCACTACCTTAAGAAGTGCTTATGATCATAATCATATGTTGATGAAGTTGATAACAGAGAATAGAAAAAGCAAGTTTTTAACAAAGAAAAAGTAATAAGAAGTATTGGAAGGATGTAGAGAAACTTGTAGGAAAATTTTCTTTTTGAAAGCGTGGAAGAGAGGCTGATCCACTGCATCAGGGGGTTTGATGGTCACTGGTGCCGCCACCTTAAGATCCAGTGGAATACATTCCGTTTGCTGTTGCTCTTGCAATGCTGCCATGACATGTGCTTCCATACTCATTCTGTCCAGTCAAAGCCTCGTCCAGTTTTGTAATGTTCTGATGGCCTTTGTAGAATTCTGGCAATGAACCTTCACAAAGCTTGCTGCTGGTATACCAGAGGCTTAACCGCCTCCCATTTCGTGATAAATTTGATCTTCTTATTGGGATTGTTGGCTATGATTACATCGAACTTGCAATGGAGTTGGGTCGTAGTTGAGCCTTAAGTCACTTAGACTGTCAATGGAGTATTTTGGAAGCTCAGGTTTGAAGGCCAGGTAAAGAATGCTAGCAATGGCGGAAATGAGGATGATAAGGAAGAGAAGAAGTCAAGCTGTTGTCCAGCAAAGGGACTTGCAACAATAGCTTCACTGCTGTGGACTGGAAGGGTATCATGCAGAATAGGAATACCCTTCTCAGATGTTGCAGAGCACCGAGGTACAAGAGGTGCGGTTACCAGTGATCGTGGTGGCAGTGGGCCTGGTGGCGGTATGTTTATTATACGCTTGTCTGATGTTGTGGAGGCCAGAGGTAGGGGAACCATATATGCTGTTGCTGGTCACAGTAGCCGTGTCTTCTTCTGCTGGTCTGTCATTGCTGATTTGCTTCAAATGAATTTCATGCTGCATGGTGATGTATGGTTGGTGACATATATGAGGAGTTCGAATTTGGTTTCTTTAGTTCACCTTTTGTTTAAACATAAATGGGTGCAGCTCTGAATCCTAACCTTCCTCACCTAATATGTTTCATGATATACCATTTTGAGATGGTCATGTGATGGTATCCTGTTATATTTTTGTTGATGAAATGATTTAATATAAAAACTATGGGTTTTACTTTTCTTTTGTGGAATGGTTTGGTTTAATTTTTTTTGGATATTATCAATTGGTCAGGTAAAACGCTTGTATGATACTTTTCATGAACCATTCAAGCGCATGGTTTCTAGCCAACCAGCTGTTCCAGAAACTTCAGTTCAGAAAAATGCTGAACCATCCTCGGCAGGTGAAGTTGCAGAAGTTGAGAAGGATGGAGAAGATATAAACAAACGCAGGAAGACAGAACCGGAATTGAATGTTAAACTTAAATCAGCCCTTAAAGCTGCTTTTGCCAAGTATGCTCAAACAAATAGTCAGAAGAACAATAAGTCAACAGTTGTGAAGAAGGCAGTAGAACACAGTACTGCGACGAACCCACAAGCTGAAAATGGTGAATCCAGTGAAAAGGCCGGAACTTGATCCTTAGTTTTATCCATAAAGTTTAACTCTTAACAAGCAGACCAACCAGGTTCAATTGAAATGTTTGAAGAATTGTTGCTCTTTGGAAGGAGAACAAATAGCATCAAGGCCAGGCTTTGCTCTCGGATATGGTTTGAGGCTTCAAATTACTAGCTCACCAAATATTATGTCTTGCGAGATCAACTTTGGGGATTAGAGGTCCATTGAGTCAAAGTGAAATAGCCTTATCTGTATATACTTTCTAGAAGTAAAATTAGCCTTTAGAAGTATTTTTTCTAGAAAACTGCC